TCCCAGGCTTTCAGGCTCCCAGCTCTTGCATCCTGGAACAGCGGGTGGAGAAAATGCTGGGATCTCAAAGCACCTGTCTAGTCTGTGGCACACAGTGGGACCTCAATCACTCTAGTCCCTCTCCACTCTCAGACCGAAAATTTGTTACGCTCCTCCCTAATTTTCCAACTCTTTATTTGGAACATCATTTCCAGTCTGTCTTCTAGGACACAAACCCTAGCACTTCTTAAGCGGCTAGAGGAAAGTGTGGGCAGCACTGAGCAGATACAGCGCTGAAGCGACGCACAGGGGTGAGGAGAGACTAGCTCGGACTAGGCACTTTCCTCGAGCTGGCAGCGACAGCAGTGAATAAGAAAACAGTCGGTAAATCGGAGAACAGGCTGCCTAGAGATGCGCGACGGCCAGGGAACCCAGGCCTGGGCAGGGGCGCCACGTCTGCCACCCAGGCCTTGAGGAAGGGAGGTTCCCATTCTTTGCGGGTACCCATGGGACCCTTATTCCCTCCAAGGCTGGTGATTGCCCAAGAGGGCAGGTCGCCCTTCCCAATCTTTCTCATTTGAATACATGAAAATGCGAGTTGATTTTGGCAGGTCAATGCTAGCTCAGGGCCAGAGAGACGGTTTTGTCGCCCGCGGGCAAGACTGGGTAGGGAGCAGCTCCGGCTCTGACATCCGGCTGCGGGCCAGTCAGGCCTGCGCCCCAGGCCGCTCAGAAACCCCGCGGCGGCTCCGGGAGCAGTGAGGGAAAGGACAAACCCAGAGATAAAGAATTGGGATTAAAATGTTTCAATAGATTTTTCCCCCGAGTACAAACACCCGACCAGGCTTCGGCCGGGATCCTGAGATTTCTCCGCACGAAACTGCTGGACGAGGCCGATTAGGTGGTCCCAGGGCCAGGGCCCCTACCTACTGCGGGTCGGATGCCTTGTGAGTTTTGAATTAATTTCTTGATGAATAACATAATGATAGAAGGAAGGGCTGAGAAAGGAAGGTATGAGAAAACAAAAAAAGGAATGGAAAGAAAGAGAGGCGGTGAAGGAACAGGAGCTGGGTGTTTCTGCTCTCCTGGCCCCAGGCGCCTCGACTGGCAGCGGTGCGCCCCCAAGTCTTAGGCTGCCGCGCCTCCCGCGTGGCGGTTGGGAGGCTGAAGGCAGGCGCCCAGGCCTCTTGCCGGGCTCGGACACACACCTCGGGCAGCGGAGGCCAGTCGCTCATAATTGCAAACAGCTGCTTTCAGCGTCCCAGGCCTTCCTCAGTCCTAAACCGACCTGGGTCCCAGTCCAGGTCCGCTTTGAACCCCGTGAAAGACAACAGGTCTTAGTTTCATAGCATCTGATTCTCGCTTCTCATCTGGGTGGCAGGTGGGGACCGGAGGAGAAAGAGCGCGGACCACCCTGTCGCGAGCGGCTGGGTCCGCGACAGTCGAGACCTGGCCACAGCCCCCTGGAAGGAGGGAGGCCGGCGGAGACAGGGGACAGACTAGGGAGAACCACAGAGGGAAGTCCTCGGGAGGCTCCAGAGGACACCACAGAGGCCCGACGCCCCGGGTCCTGCTCTCTGCACACCCCGCGGTCCTGCTAAACGGCAAAGACCCCGGCGCCGCCACAGACAGCCGGCTGGGCCCGAGGCCTGAGGAGCGACCTGTCTCTAGCCGTCGTCCCCCTCTGCTTCTCCCTTGCGCCGGCGAAGATCTGCGGAAGGGGTCCCAGCCAGGTAATACTGGGAAAGGGAAGAGGAGGTGGCCTCGTTTGGCCGGCGAATGCTATACCGCCGGCCGCCACAGCCAGACTGCGCCTGGAGCGAAAGTCTCCAAAGGCGGAGAAGGCGCAGCTTCCGGGAAGGGCGGAGCCGCTTCCTCCGCCCAAGGCCACCTGGACGACCCGCGCACATCACCTTTCTGACCGCTCCGGCTTCCTCCGCCTGGGGAGCCTGCCCTCCCCTCTACCTGGGCTGCCCTAGGCTCGCGCAGACCGGTCCTAGCCAGGAGAGTTTGGCCCGGGACGCCCCAGGAGACGCCACGTGGCTGTCCTCGTGGCCCCTAAAGCCTCGAGTCCACCCAAACTCCCGGAGGCTGAAGACAGGTCCAGTTCCCCGGAAGGCAGAGCACAGCCTTCTGAAAGGCGCAGGCAGGGCCTATTTGGGAGAAGAGGTTTGTAACCAATGAGTCGACTGCTGCAACCTGGCCTGTCACCTGGCTACCTACTGGCCAGCAGCCCGGAGACAGCAGCTTTGTGTCATTCATTTGCTTGTTTATTTTCTAAATCAAAGACCCGGCACGACCCTGATGATTCGCTTTTAAAGCTCTGCGAAATGACTGGCTGACATCTGAATACCCTAGAGCTTCCCTTCCTAAACGTGTTAGGGGTCTTGGAACATCGCCACTGAGATGAAGAGAGGCTGGGAGCTAAACGAGCTGCCCCCTTTCCTCCCCCTCAGGCAGTCAGCTCCGGGAACTAAAGTCTCAGGAAAGGGAGGCGTGCGGAGTTCCAGACTCCCCCGACGGTGCTCGCGGGGGGCCGCTTGCGGGAGGATTCGGCGCCCTCCCTTCCTCCCCACACACATCCCGGGAGGTGCTGTGAACCCAGTCATTCCGGGCGGGGCGGCGACCCAGGAAATCCCAAGCTGGATCAAGGCTCTAAAGTTGGCAGAGTTCACTCTTCACCGCCAGTCTTGGGCTTTGAAGAAGCCCTGGAAAAACTTTACTTTGGACATCCCGCTGTAGGTTTTTTCTTTCTTTTCTTTTCTTTTTTTCCTTCTTCTTCTTCAGCTGACTTTTTTTTCTTTTTCTTTTTCTTTTTTTTTTTTAAGATGAGCTCTAGTAGATTTAGGAAGTGGGCTAAAAGTGAAAGAATATTTGATGTTTTAATTGAGCCCCCCCATAAAATGACAGCGCCCCCCTTTAGGCACCGGTTTTTTGTGTACCATAAAAGCTTTTACTAAGTTGTCACTACCCATGGATAATACCCTAGTCATGCTCGATGTTTCTGAAGAGCCAAGAGGGCGTTGGAGAATCACTGCGGGAAGGAACAAGGAAGCTCATTAGCACTGAAAGTCCCCCTGAACAGGCCAAGGAAGCTAAGCATCCCTGTTCTTTACTAATGGAACCAAGGTCCTGCTGTTGCTGGGAACTTTGCACAAAAGAATGAGTTTCTGATGGATGCTCTGAGAAATCTGTGCAGATCCACACATTTACAGATACATTTACACAAACTGATGGGACTTGCAGTCCCAGGGGCAGGCTGCAGTTGGGGAGGGCGGCTGCTCTGAGTTCCAGGTGGATTTAATTTCACTCTCATTCCATTCTTTACAATATGACATTTCTCTCCCCTCCTTTTGTTAAAAAAAGGAATTGTAATCCAACGCTTTTATCTTTTTTATTTCCTTAACTGCACATCTTCACCCTCTTGGGCTCCCCTGCTGATTTAAGAGATTTGTTTGGTTCGAGGATTTTACGTGATTCTGTTGCCAGATTTCAAGGAAGAAAGATTTAAAAGAACAGAGGGAAAAAGGTATCTTAAAGACAAGTTAAAACACATTGCTTAAAATGAGATTAATAACATGCTTAAAACTTTGCCAAACAAGAATATTTGGCAGATTTTTAGTCATTTTAGAAAGATTTTATTTTGTTATTGCTTCAGGAAAACTAGTGGATTCTACCTAGGGTAGGACACACACATGGTCACCCACACACTTAGAAACAGACATGGCCACACTCATTTAGAAGCTCACACACATTCATACACTCAGAAATATACTCAGAAAACTCACACCATCCCACAACCTATCACCAGCTCAGCGCTTATCAATCACTTTAGTTGGTCCTTCTCCAACAAAAGTGATTTTGGGCACTCCTCTACCCAGGACCTCACAGAAGCCAAGAGGCTTTGCTTTGGGGAGAACTTCCCACCAATGACCCATTAGGAACTAAGCAAGCGCCTGCGGTGCTAGCCTGGCCCCTCCAGGTGAGAGATGGGATCAAGCCCCGCCACAGACCATCCCTGGCTTCAGCCTGGCACCTCTCTAGCCGAGCAGATGCATTCCCGCGCCTGTGTTCACGCTCTCCCAGTTAACGCGCGCATTTAGGGAGATGTCCCCTCCCCCTGACCTTTCCCTATCAGAAACCAGACGGTCGCCTCCAGCTCAGTCCCCGGGGCTGCGGAAGGGGGGCAGGAGGAGGAGCTGGGTAGAGGAGGACGGCCCGACTCGGGTGCGCCTGCCCTATCACACAGACATCTGTTCTCAGCCTCTTCCTCTTTATGATCGCTACAGATGACAAGGGAAGTAGAGCGGACCGAGGCGAAAAAAAAAAAAAAAGTTATGTCATAAAAATATAAAACGGTGCTGTGACTCACCTGCTCTTAGCCGCAGGTACGGGTTTCGTGGCAGCGTCTCCAGTCTGCTAGCCAGGAGCCCAGATAGGCCTAACGTCACTCGGCTAGGTTGACTCAGATGGCCGAGTTTCTAGTGAAGGGGCAAAATTGGGGCTTTCTCCTTTTTCAGGTCTGAAGTCGGGGGGAGGGGGATCATCTGTATTCTCCAGTCTCCCGGTGTTGAACTTTGGGTCAGTAATCAGTACAGTGGGAGCTGGAAGCGGGCAGAAGAGCAGGAGAGGCACGGGATGGGGCTGCTGCCGGCGGCCCCCGGAAGACGGTGGGTCCCCCTGGGACGGGACTCTGGGGTTATTTAGCTGGCACAGCCCCGCGAGCCGGCATCCAACGCCACCGCCCCCAGCCCTTCTCCGGCTGAGCAGTTCCTATCCAGAACTCTCGTTAGCTTGCCCGGCCCCGCCTATTTTTCTTTTTTCCTCTTCCAAAGGGGGTTAACCCCCCCCCAATCCCATTTCCCTCTTCCCCCAGGCTCCGGGCTTAAACCAATTACGCTGCTTTGCAAACAAAGTGAGGGCCGGGTTTGAGGGAGGGGGTTTGGCGGGAGGGGGCGCAGGGGGCGCGCGGCGGCAGCGCGGCTGGGCGGGAGGCGCGGCGGCTGGACTGGCGGGCGGCCGCCTCGCAGGTGCACCTCGGGCTTTGTAGGTGCGAGCGTCTTTGTGCGGCCGACAAATGGGGAGAGGACGAGGAGGTGGGCACTCGAGCGACGTAAGATCCACATCAGCTCAACTGCACTCGTCTCGCAGAGGCCGCCCGCTCACTTCCCGCGGAGGCGCTCCCGGGCGCCGCGCTCCGCGGCCGCCGCCTGCCCCCGCCCGCCGCGCCGCCTCCGCCGCGCACGCCGCGCCCCGCAGCGCCTGGCTTCCTCCTCGCTAGGGTGGCGTTGGGCTGGCGCGGGCGTTCGGGTGACTGCAGCTGCTCGGCTCCCCGCCCCCCAGCCCTGCGCCGCGCGGTCGCCCGTCGCTTAGCACTGGGCTGGATGGTTGCATCGGGCAGGGTGGCTCCAGGATGTTAGGGACTGTGAAGATGGAAGGGCATGAGAGCAGCGACTGGAACAGCTACTACGCGGACACACAGGAGGTGAGAAGCGGGCAGCAGGCGGGACCCTTCCGGAGCCCCTGCCGGGGGAGGCCTGGAGAGGCGGGGGCCCGGCTGGGTGGGCGGCTGGCCGGCTGGGGGCGCCTCCTACGTGCCATCGCTGCGGGCCCACCCGAGGTGTTCCCGGACAGGCCTTGGCCGGGCCTTGGAGACGGATCCGCTGCCCCGCGGGGGAGGCTGGGTCCCGGCGTTTGGCGCTTGGAGCGGGCCACAGGGTTTCAGGAAACTCTGGCCTTTGAAGGCACCCGCTCTGGAAAGCGCTTGCCTCTTCTCTGCGGAGAGCGGGAGCCGGAACCAGGCCTGGGGTGCTGCGGGTTGGCGGGCGGGCGCCGGCAAGAGTTGGAGGTAACTCTAGGATAAAGACAGAGTTCTCCAGCAGGGCGGCCTCTTCCTCCCACGGATGAATTCGCAGATGTCTTCAGATGAAAGCGCGCTGCCGTTGAGTTGAGCGTCTTAATAATGAATCGATTCCGAAATTTTATAAAACTTCTTTAAAAGCCCTGTTTGGGGAGAAGTCAGCTCATTTTACTCTAGAACCGCTGGGTGGCGCTGGTGCGAACTGACTTTTCCTCCAGCACCCCGAACAGAGAACCTGTTTCTCTTCATTGTCCCCTTGGTGGCACGTTCATGTGGTTTATTTTACAATGTGCACAAAGGGATTGTGAGGAAAACCAGGTACAGGCGGGACCACCACCTACTAAAACTATTTCTCTTGAAACAGCTGGCAATTAGCCTCCAAAAGTTCACCATTACTAAAAACAATTATCTATAATCTTGGAGAGAGGACGACAAAAAAAAAAAAAAAAAAAAAAAAGGAAGAGAGAGAGAAAGAAAGAAAGAAATACTTTAAGACATGGACAGAAAAATATAGAATCTGGAAATACTTTGATGGTAATTAATTTCTTTAGATTTATGTATTTATATATTCACAAACTTAGCTTGAATTTATTTGCATACCGTAGCAGAGTGTGCCTAGTTAAATTTGTACACCTTTTAATTTTTCAAATGAAATTGTACCTGCTGCTGAAAAAAATCCGACATTATTTTTATTAAACTACCAGAAATGTTTTTATGTTTCCAGACTCTATGTTTTTAACATACATAGGGCATTCCCAAATTGCTATTGATAAGGGTTTTCTCCTACTGATAATTTAAAAGTGAGCTCAGAACTCTTCCTCAGGCTTAATTCGGATGCAGACATCTCAACCCACTAGTTAATGAAGTCCCCTATAGAAAGAACTTTCTTACAGGTTGAAGCTGAGAATTGGGAAACAAAATAGCATTGGGAGAAAATTAGTAGACTTTGATTTTGGAAATTTAAAGGGGGATTTTAAAGCAAAGCTTTGAAATAATCATGGCAACATATCAGTATGGGAAAACAAAATAGATCATTTTGACAAATCGGGTCACCAAAATTTTCAAATGTTATGGGGCTGGAAATAGTAACGAAATTAGTGCAACTTCCTGAATGGTTTAAAGAGATGTACATGTAAAGTCAAGTTAAAGTTAAGTGTAGTGCATTGATATTATTATGCACTCCCTCCTACCCCCCTTGTAGATCTATTTTTAGTTTATTTTTTCCCAAGACTTACTAAACTTCTGAGTTTCTGTCGCTTTTAATATTACAGTTGCTACAAGTAGATGGAAAACACTCGTTCTAAACATAATAACGAAAAGTCACCATTTGGGGGAAAACTGCTAAGGCAGTAAAGCCATTTGTTGAAAAACGGATGGTCATGTGGCCATGAATGATTAGTTCTATCAGGAAAAGTTTAATTAACAGCCACCCTGCACAGCCGAGGCTACTATGTGGTCAGCCCGGCCTGGCAGGCTTAGGTGAGCTAGGCACAGAGTTAGTGTTCTGTTGCCCGCCCCTGGGGGGCTACACCACCGAACCCACCGCACCCCGTAAGGTGGGGTGAATAAGCAAAGTCAGAGAATAATCCTATTTTCGGAGTTTAACTCCTTTTAACTAAAATGACTTTGCTGAGGGCGGTCTCGGGTGGAGACTGGAATGCCAACTGGCGTGGATGCAGAAGGCGATGGAGGGGCCCTAGAAGGCCCCTGAGCCTGGCATGTAAGGCGATTACACATCTTCCTGGGGACATATTTTCTGTGAGCGCTTTTCTTTCAGGCCTGCCGCGATAAGATTTTTTCCCTGCTGTGCAAGACATTTCTTTACTCTTTCTGGGGAGGGCGCCTGACGGTTTGCCCGGGGTGGGGGGTCCTGCGCTTTTCAGAAATGCTCCCCGCACGTCTCCAGCTTTGCCCCGGGTGGTAGGCCGCCCGCTCCCACTACTAACCCCACCCTCCGGGGCCTCTTTCCTCGCTGTCTCCGCTCCAGGCCTACTCCTCCGTCCCCGTCAGCAACATGAACTCGGGCCTGGGCTCTATGAACTCCATGAACACCTACATGACCATGAACACCATGACCACAAGCGGCAACATGACCCCAGCTTCGTTCAACATGTCCTACGCAAACCCGGGCCTGGGCGCCGGCCTGAGTCCGGGCGCCGTGGCTGGCATGCCGGGAGGCTCTGCGGGCGCCATGAACAGCATGACGGCGGCGGGCGTGACGGCCATGGGAACGACGCTGAGCCCGGGAGGCATGGGCGCCATGGGCGCGCAGCCCGCGGCCTCCATGAACGGCCTGGGCCCCTACGCAGCTGCCATGAACCCGTGCATGAGCCCCATGGCGTACGCGCCGTCCAACCTGGGCCGCAGCCGCGCGGGGGGCGGCGGCGACGCCAAGACTTTCAAGCGCAGCTACCCGCACGCTAAGCCGCCCTATTCCTACATCTCGCTCATCACCATGGCCATCCAGCAGGCGCCCAGCAAGATGCTCACGCTAAGCGAGATCTACCAGTGGATCATGGACCTCTTCCCCTATTACCGGCAGAATCAGCAGCGCTGGCAGAACTCCATCCGGCACTCGCTCTCCTTCAACGACTGCTTCGTCAAAGTGGCGCGCTCCCCAGACAAGCCGGGCAAGGGCTCCTACTGGACGCTGCACCCGGACTCCGGCAACATGTTTGAGAACGGTTGTTACTTGCGCCGCCAGAAGCGCTTCAAGTGTGAGAAGCAGCCGGGGGCCGGGGGCGGCAGCGGGAGCGGGGGTGGCGGCGGCGGCGCCAAGGGCGGTCCTGAGAGCCGCAAGGACCCCTCGAGCGCCGCCAACCCCAGTGCCAACTCGCCCCTTCATCGGGGCGTGCACGGGAAGGGAGGCCAGCTAGAGGGCGCGCCGGCCCCCGGGCCGGCTGCCAGCCCCCAGACTCTGGACCACAGCGGGGCGACGGCAACAGGGGGCGCCTCGGAGTTGAAGACGCCATCCTCCTCGGCTGCGCCCCCGATCAGCTCCGGGCCCGGGGCGCTGGTATCTGTGCCCCCCTCCCACCCGGCGCACGGCCTGGCTCCCCACGAGTCCCAGCTGCACCTGAAAGGGGACCCCCATTACTCTTTCAACCACCCTTTCTCCATCAACAACCTCATGTCCTCCTCGGAGCAGCAGCACAAGCTGGACTTCAAGGCATATGAGCAAGCACTACAGTACTCGCCCTATGGTGCTGCGTTGCCCGCCAGCCTGCCCCTCGGCAGCGCCTCAGTGGCCACCAGGAGCCCCATCGAGCCCTCAGCCCTGGAGCCGGCATACTACCAAGGTGTGTATTCCAGACCCGTCCTAAACACTTCCTAGCTCCCTGGGACTGGGGGTTTGTCTGGCATGGCCATGCTGGTAGCAAGAGAGAGAGAGAGACAGACAGACAGACAGACAAAGAAAAATCAGCAAACAAAACTACACATACCAAGCCGACAACAGCATAATAAAATCCCAGCTATCTTTATTTCATTTTTTGTGTGTGTGCACAATCTTTTCCCCAGTGCAAAGGACTGTTACTTTGTTATTGTATTCGAAATGCCTTGTGTATATTATTACAGAGAAAACCAATCCCAAACCAACAAAATTTTTTCCTGCAAAGTTTAATAATCCGCAAATGTATATATAAAATCCTCCTACTTCCTTATCCCTTTCCCTTTCTTCCCTCTTTCCCCTCCAGACACGTTCTAGTCTGTGCAGGGTTTATTTAAAGAAAGAAAGAAAAAGAAAGAAAGAAAGAAAGAGAGAGAGAGAGAGAAAGAAAAGAAAGAAAGTCAGACTTGTAAAATATTTGTTTGTGCTTCCCCCCCCCTCACCTGACCCTCCACAAGTTTACAGGTCTATGGCAATACTCTTAACCATAAGAACTGAAAGGGTGAAGAAACAAGTCGACACTAGGGGCTATTAAAAGTATTTGAAGGACAACATTGCTGTTATGCAGCAAAACATAAACTGATTATAAACATCAGAGCCATTTGTTATTCAGCTTCCATTTCTGATACATTCAGATAGCAGATGTCTTAAAATGAAATACATATATATTATGTACGGACTTATTTATGCACATGCTCAACTATGTAGACATCCTCCATATATTTGCATAACACGTAGAAATAATAGGTTAGTGATATACATGGGACATTTTCAAGAGTTGCCTGACCAAGAAGTTACAAAGACACCCTCCTCCCTTGTCTTCTCCACCCACATATAGCCAGCCCTGAGAAGAATTGCCATCCTCAGTAACTCTGCTCCTTGCTTTGCAGAGTGCCATTGTCATGTCATTCTGAGGTCACATAACATGTATAAAATTAGCTTCTATGTATCCGTACCATTTAAATATTTTTCCAGGAAAAAAGGAATATTACAATGTTGGAGGAGAGATAAGTTATAGGGAGTGGTATTTCAAAATTTGGTCGAAAATTCCAAAATCTAAATAATTGTGGCCATTTTAATTATTGCCATCGTGTGCTTGTTTCATTCAGTGTTAATGCACTTTTCACAGTTGGACATGGTGTTAGTATAGCCAGACGGGTTTCATTATTCTTCTTTGCTTTCTCAATGTTAATTTATTGCATGGTTTATTCCTTTTTTTTTCTTTATAGTTGAAATTGCTTTAAATGATGGTTAAAATTACAAATTTAAAATGTTAATTTTATCAATGTGATTGTAATTAAAATATTTTGATTTAAATAACGAAAATGAAATTTTAAGCCGTGGAATATGTTCTTGATCATTTGCAGTTAAGGACTTTAAATAAATCAAATGTTAACACAAAACTATTTGTTACTTTCCTCAATTAAATTCAAAGTAAGTATTCTGAAAATGATATTTTCCGAAGTCCAGCACCGAATATAAATGACGGAAAGGAAAATGATCTAAAACAAAATTGTTTTGTTTATTAAACGAACAGGAAACTAGTAAAAAGCAGCCAAAGAAATTCAATAAAAGTGGGTAGATAAATTGATTTAATATCCCAAGAATTGAGATTTTTAAGACTAATTATTCCCTCCTAGTAGTGTTTAATTTTTTAACATGAGCTTAAGTCTTCTCTGTTTCCTTTGAGTCTGTCCACAATGAAATCAAATTCATTAATATAACTACATTTCCCCCTTCCCCAATGTCTAATTTTCCTTTATCTGAGAAGTATTCTAGTGAGAATAAAATATCAGATGTGGCTGATAAAATTAAGTTGTCTACAACAGAGAATCCTGAACTCCCCCTCCCCCATTAAAAGAGAAACAAAACTTAACCATCCTGGTAGCTTTGGAAGGGGCCGGGGAGTCGAGTTAAATTACTCCTGCAGGGGAAGCTTTGTGCCACCACGACATTTCAGGGTAGCTGCTATTTTGTATCTTGTGAAGATACTTTTAAAAATATTGTTTCTAAAAATACCATTCCTGAGAACAAGCTGATGATTTGTTTGCCTTCTAAGAAGCTTTTAAATGCAACTTCACACCCCTACAGTTGCTTGAGATCACAAAATCATTAATCTCCTTTGATAGTAGGCTCACTTTCCAGTCCACCTATTTCTTTGTAAGTCTTGTTCGGATTGACATCAACAATAACACCACCAGCCCAAGCAGAGGCTAGGCTGCCTGAGCCCTTGTGTATGAACTCCATCCTCGCCGGGGCTTGAACTTGGCCAGCCCTTACTTTGATCGCCCCACTCCACACTGCGGACAAGATAAAAAGAGCTGTGTGAGTCCCTTAATTATCGCGTAATTGCCTCCCCAGATGGGAGAAGGGGTGGCATGTAGCACTTGAGAAAAATCCAGAAATCCCACCGCCCCCCCACTTCAGCTAATGAAAGGAGGAGAGGGAAATAACTTGTTTGAATAATTTAAAAATCTAATTTGGAGGCTTTTTGGAAAGACATTAAAGTCCCAAAGAGAGGAAAAAGCTTTCAATCTCAATAGTTATTTATGTTTCTATAAAGGGTAAACAAACGCGTTGGCAAATTCGAATTCCAAATGCAACATAAGGCCGTGAGTTTGGGCCGAGGAATTTTACCAGCCCCACTGAGTCTCTATCGTCTAACTTTCGCGTTCCCCTCGGTGATGTTCCCCTCCCTCTCTAACATACTAGCAATTTCAGTGTCTAGCCTCCACGCATTAGGCTTAAGTGGGCCTCAGCTCGCTCTGCCTTACTTGGCAGAGACTTTTTCTGGGCTTGCGGGGGATGAGGCGCCGCAAGTTGCTGGCAGAGGCCACTTTGGAAACCTGCCTGAGAAGCTAGCATGGTGGGTCGCGGGGACCTGGTTTCGTGGGCTTCTCGCGCGCTTTTCTGCCACCTCTGAGCAGTAAAGCACTCCCGGACACCTTGAGCGCGTCCTGCTTCGTCTGGGCGACCTGCCCCCGGCGCGTTAGGAAGGACGCGCACGGGGGCCCGGGCGGGCGGTTGCCGGGGAAGAGGGACAGAGCAGGACCGCAGGCATCTCGGGGTGACAAGTGCAGTTAGTTCTGTATTGTTTGGGCATTTTCCCCTCCTAGCGAATAAATCTTCTGTCGAGCCCGAGACCTAAAAGTCAACAAAGAAGGCCAGGCGTCGCTTTACCGCTCCCGCGGCCCCAACGCCCGCGTTGCCGCGGCGGCTCCCGCTGCGTAATCCCTTCCTCGGAAACCCGGACACACAAACGCCGGAACGCCCGGGGCTGGGGCGCCGCGCCCCAGGGCCAGGAGGAAAACATCTGTGGTTCCGAGGGAGTGCTGCGACGACCCTCCTCGAGCGCGCCGCCTTCCCTAGCCCCCGCCCACACCCCTTTTCGTCTTCAAATTTCTCTATTTCTTCATCTCGGACACTCGTTCCTGCAGACGTGGGCAGAAAGGGGATGCTGACCGCTCAGCCGCGGTCCACCGGGCTCGCTTTATTGAGGATTTTCCCTCGAGATGGGGGAGGGGTCTCCGGATGGGGAAGAGGGAGGGGAGAAGAAAAAACCTTCCTTGCAGACCTTCTAGTGCAAAGCTTCCGAGGCTCTCCGATTCAGTGACAACGCCACTACCGAGCACTTTTAGAAAAAAAATAAAAAGAAAGAAAAATGTTTGGGGAGTCAATATATTCCTGGGGAAGAGAACTTCACATGTTAACTTTCACCTTGTTCCGGGACTGACACATTTTTTAAATTGATAAAAAGAGAAGATACCTAGACTCAGCTAGGGGGAAAGCTCATCAGAAACTACACAACTTAGAAGTGTTCCCAAGTAGAAGGCAGCTCGGTCTGTTTTCTACGTGATGGTTATTACACTGTTTACGTCACAGATAAAATTTAATTTCCATTTGTCCCTTCGTGAACTCTTTATAGCGGAATAAACTGGTGAGCATTATTAAGGGAGGAGGGATTAAACAAACAATCCTATTAATGTTCTTAACTTCTGTTTTCATTTTCTGAAGCCTAGAATACTGGACTTATTTCACTGAAAGCATAAAAAACATTATTTTTCTCAGGAGTCTAACAGATTTGAATGAGCCATAGCAGAAAAGAATTCCTGGAGTGATAACATTAAAAAATCTTGTTGTTTTAGTACTTTAAAAAATGATCTCAATTCCACAAAAATGCTTACTAAGTTTCTTTGCAAAAATTTTCTACGATCAATACAAATTCTTTTCAATGCAGACCAAAGTAGGAGACCTGTAGCCCAAATTAATTAACCTTTCCTCAAGATCAATTGGTTTTCTGTTGATTTAGCAGTAATATTGTAGAAAATTTAGCTATAATGTATTTTAATGTGATACCTCAATATGTCAAGAGGAAACACTCACTGAAAAGATAAAATTGCTTAAATTATTTAATAGATGTTTAGTAAATTTTCACCCCAAAATCAAATCTTAATTGCTTATTTGTATTGTAGTATAATGTGTTTTGCAACTAAATGGATTTAAGATAATGTCTAATTAGTTCAAGATAATTACGTGCAAAAGTTGATTATTCGTAAGCTACATTGGGATAAATAGGTCATGAAATTATGCTGAAATTTAGAAATAAGATTTTCCCAAACAGAATCATTAACATCAATAGAAACTCATGAGAGTAAGAATGTAATAAAATGAAACAACTTAGAAGATTTTACAACCTTAACTGTTTAGAAATAGAATCTGGGGAGATACAAGTTTTGGTTTTTGTTTTTAAAGCAGCCATTTCTGCAACTTTTATACTCTACCACTGATCCTATTTGGTATATCCAAATAACATTTGATAACAGTTTACTTTCAGTGTTCTGGGTTTTTTTCTTCCAAATACTTACATTTAAGACCATAATAGTTTCATTGGTGTTTCTCTTTTAGCTCCCAGTCTAGCTCTGTTCATTGAACTTTGGACAGCTCAGACTGCAGCACTCACCTTCCCACCGCCCCCTCCAGTCATCATTCTAGCAAGCGATAGGGAGCTGGAAAATACCCATCCATTTC